CTGACAGAAAGGAGAACTATGAACTTCCATCGCAAGCTGATCTCATACGTCAGGCTTTTGCTGGTGATGATGTTGAAGCTGAATTTGACAAAGACAAAATGGATGTTTTAAATGAGGAGAATCCTGAACCTGAAAAGCCTGCTCTTGTTCCTGGCTGGGGCCAGTGGACAGACATCCAACAGAAAAAAGGACTTCCCTCATGGATGATAAAAGAACATGAAGTTGCTAAAAGAAATAGACAAGAAGCCTTGAAGAGGAGGAAGGACTCGAAGCTTAAGCACGTCATTATTTCTGAACATGTAGATAAGAAGGTAAAGCTGTATTTGAGTCGTTACATACACATGCTCAGTGTGGTTTATGTTTCTGTTGTTTATGTAAAGTGTATACCTTTGCTGTTCCATTACAATTCTGGAACAAGAATCTTAGTTCACTAGATGTCCTTTAGTTTTTTTTAGAAATGCTTTATCAATAAATAATCTTACGGTTTTCACTCTGCAGGTTGAAAAGTATTTAGCAAGGAATTTGCCTTTCCTTTCACGTCCGAAAGATGCATATGAGCAGAGCATCCGAATGCCTATTGGGCCTGATTTCAACCCAGTGATATCGGTTTCTGCTCTCAATCGACCTGCGGTGAGTGCATCTAGCTGATACATGGAACTCCTAAGAATTATTATTACTAGCTCATAGAATTGAGGACAGCAGAAATCAAACATGTGATTCAATAATCTACTTTGAGAGCTACAGTATTGCCTTCTCTGATTTGCACTATATGCATTTACAATGAAATACCTACTGTTTCAGATGTGCAACCTTGATGTTTGTTTATGCCATCGAGCTTCCATCTAGAGGGCATTCCCTGTAGCGAACATCAAAACTGTAGACACAGTAGTAAATAGAGACATCACATGATTGACATTCTACCATGATGATAATTCATAAATCTTTTACTTACTAAAGCATTTGTACTTAGAGAAAAAATATGTACAATGTTCTGTCGCCATGGCCTACTTTTTTATTTTGATAATTAGAAATGCACCTTCATACCATTCATTTATAAGATTGCATGCTGACCAAATTATGCTTCTATTCACTTGTACCTCCCATCCTTTCAGATTGTTAAGAAGCCCGGTGTTATCATCAAACCAATACAATATGAGGAGGTCAATCCCCATGAGAAGCCTGATGAACCAAAACGAGTCATTCAGAGAGCAACCCCAAACTGGAATGCAAAGAAAGCCTTTGCCAAACAAGGAAAGGGGCAACTTCACAAAAGAGAAAGTGATGAGACAGTCGTCTTTTTGTCAATGGCTTCATTTGGTCAGAAGTGAAGACTTAAAAGGAGAGCTGATCCGAATTTTATGTTCCCACACCGAATTTGCAAGTGCATGCCTCCAGGAGTTTATAGGGATTCTTCTCATAGCGAAAATGGGTTCCAGCTGCAGCTAATGACCCATAGGAAAAGGTTTCACACCACTGGTTTATAAGAGCAGAGAAATTTTGGTGCAAGTAGTTTTGTCTGTTATTTATTGCTTTCGCTAATCACCACACATGGTCCAAATGATATGGATGCTATATTTCAGTTATGATGATTAGCACTGGCCACTGGTTGACTAGGGTCGCCTGTCTTGTATGCATCCCCACTTTTCAGACGCCAGTAAATTTGGATGATTTGTGTATGTTCAACTGATCGAACATGGAACGAAGTGAATTTGATGCCCACGGCCAAGTGGCTGGCGCGAGCGATGATATCTGAATCGTTGGTTTCAGTAGCCAGATCTTATGGCAACCCACGTTCTAATGGTCCAATAAAAACTTTATATTGTAGTTTGATATTTATTTTCATGTGAAGCAGAGTAACAACTTTATTATATTTGTAGTTTTATATTTATTTTTATGTGGAGTAGAGTAACGGTGTCTAACCTGGAATCCATGCTATCGTATATATAGCATAAAAAAAGTCCTTACCCGTCCGTATTGGTTCATGTAAAATTCTGTTATGATAGTGTTAATAATCAAGCATATGGCCTGTCGGTTCTGCATTCTAACTCCAAAGATCGGTATGGCTTGGATGGCGCTCAACAATCAGGCACGGGAGCAGCTCTTGCTGATTACAGCCACAACAGTGCAGAGGTCTCACAGGGCAGCCCAAGTCTGCAACAAGGTTCTTGGTTGGGGATACTAGTGCTCTGGCTCATCATACCGCAGTCCATGGGCAACTTTCAGATCAGATGCACATTCATAGAGCTAGCTCGGCTCCTCCACTGTCTCCTCAGGGGACTCAGAAAGTCAGGTTGCTCCTCACCCAGCTCAGCGAAGCACAGCAGACCACCAGCTACAGGCATTGGCGCCAGCCTGCAAGGCACCACGCCCACAATGAGTCTGCTGTCCTGGAACTGACAGGCGCAGGCGGGGGCCTCTGTAGTCCAAGAGGGAGTGTTGTACATCAGATAGGAATGAGGAAAATGGGGCGTACTAAATCACACCTAATAATAATATCAGAATCGCGACTATCATTATACGGATTATCACAAACTGATGTACACGCCCAAGAGCGGCTATCATCATATGGATTATCACAAACTGATGTACAACACGCCCAAGATGGTATATTTCCCAAATCTGGGGCATGGTTAAAATTTTTGTTGGGCAAATAAGCACGGATACTCGTTCTTTTTAGACAAAACATTTTTTTAAACTCTGTTGCATGGTAGATAGCTGGTAAAACCAAGAAGGCACCCCAGAGTGCAGGTGACACTCGGAAGTATTGCCTGCCATATGCCAAAGCAGACATAAGATGGAAATATAGCATACAAATCAAAATATACATACATGAGTTAATCTGAAATGTCGATTGCTTACAGAAAGGGGCTAAAACTGGTGCTTCACGACATTCCTTTAAGAAACATACACCAGCAATTGTTCTGGTTACATTTTACAAGAGGGCAGGATAATCTACTTGCCTCCATCAAACAAGATATATGGTAGGTCAGTAGCACGCAGTGTATACCCAGCATATCACAAGGTTCGTTAATACAAACCGTCTTCCTTCAACAACAAGGGAGGAGCCTTGGCTAGCTGATACATGTAACATGTTTGAGCTGAAGTTGCAGCACCTTAGCTCCTGATAACCACACGCAAGCATCAACCTAGAGCAATCATATTTCTCCTCGGTAACCCCCGCCGCCAAAGTAGTCTTTTCTCGAGCCAGCAATTGCCATGGACTTTTGGTGCTCCAGCTTCGGACAGTCACTGACACGATGGCCAAGCCCACCACAATATGCACAACCTTTAACACCACTCTCCTTGGCAATTATTTCCTCATCCTCCAATGGATCGTTGAGCTCCGCCAACACGGTGGAATCCTCTGCTTAGCCTCCTTCAGCAGGTGCTTGAGATCGAGAAGCGTGGTCTCAGTTTGATTCTTGTTGATGAAGGTAGTTGCTATGCCAGTCTTCCCACATCGACCAGTTCGACCGATTCGATGGACATAGTTCTCAATTTCGGCAGGCATGTCATAGTTAATGACGTGCTGGATGTCAGGGAAATCAAGACCCTTTGATGCAACATCAGTAGCCACCAGAACATCCTTCCTTCCAGTTTTGAAGAAGTCAATTGCGTTCTGTCTCTCCTCTTGATCTTTTCCTCCATGGATAGCAACAGCCTCCACTCCCTTTAGAAGAAGGTACTCATGGATGTAGTCGACGTCAGCTTTGTTTTCACAGAAAATGAGAACAGGAGGTGGAGTCTTCTGGAGGCATTCAAGGAGGTATATAATTCTAGCATCTTCCTTGACATACTCGACTTCTTGAATGACATCTAGATTTGCTGCTCCAGCTCTTCCCACATTGACAGTAACTGGTTTCACAAGGGCATTCTTCGCAAAATTTTGAATCTTCTGAGGCATAGTAGCAGAAAAAAGAAGGGTCTGCCTTTGATCCTTGAAATGATCGAAAACCTCCTTGATGTCATCCTCAAATCCTAGGTCAACCAGCCTATCCGCTTCATCTAAGGTTAAGTACCTGCACAGATCATAAAAGGGACATTAAGTAACTTGGAACCATGTACAACAATTGGTGGAATGGTGGGAACCCTCAAGAGAGTCAGAGATTTAGCAGTTTACGCTCTATATAGTCCAACCAACTGGATGAATCAAGTCTGAACTGGAAACATAAAGCACTGACACATGGCCACATGGGGTAAGGATCTAGTTTGCTCGATAGATTTTTGAAAAGGGGCATCTTCCAAAGACTTTTGGATACCAAAACTACATTCAGCTGTAAGGAACAAATTAGCGGAAGATAAATAATGCAAGCTAAAATCTGAAATCTGGGTATAGTGACCGGATTGTAGGTCCAGCTGCTGAGATGCTTGCTACAGCATTCTGCGGCACTTGATAAAAACCATTGCTGAACTAGAAGCAGAATGACAGCTACAAAATAATTGTAACAGAAATACTTTAAATGCTCGTTTTTCATGGTAGGACTTTTACTAAAAAAACATATCACTTTTGTTTGATAATGAATTGTTAATCAGATTAATAATTAAAAAACAATTGCTGATTGAAAGTACTGAATACTGATCTATGAGAACATATGCTCCTCTTTCCCTAGAAAATGGTGCAAATTTATATGTGGATCTCTTTGTGCAAGTGTTATATGTTGCATACAACATAACGCCATGTCCTACATGACAATATGATATGCAATGGCTTATTATCCACTCTAGTACAAAGAAAACTAAATAAAACAGATTCAATAGTCACCCTAACTTGTGTGCTGCCACAAACACATTTTGCAAGCAGGTCCATATTTTTTCAATTTATTAGAACAGGGTTCATGAAAAGAGTGACCAAGCTAAACGTTGATATTAGATTGTGCTGGTTATTACTTATAACACAAAGTTTTGTTCAGATATTCACATTGGCACACCGTTAAACAGATAACATGAAGATACCCAAGAGTTTGCTACGGAAACATGTTTCTGTTGCATCGAACACTTACCTGCAGTTGTCAAGGTTCATCTTCTTCTTGGAAAGCAAATCCTTGAGCCGACCGGGCGTTGCCACCACAATGTGCACGCCCTTCTTCAACACATCAAGCTGTGTCCTCATATCCACACCCCCAATGCAAAGCAAAGGCCTTATCTCCGGGTATCCGGCCTCCTTGAGTGGAATGAGAAACTGCTCAATCACATCATAGGTCTGCTTAGCCAACTCCCGTGATGGGCATATGATCATCCCAAACGGGCCCTCCCCAGGCACAATCGGCATCAACGTTTCCTCCTGCACCGCCACCATGATAAGTGGCAGCACGAACACCAGAGTCTTCCCCGACCCCGTGAACGCGATGCCTATCATGTCACGCCCAGAGAGCACAACGGGCAGCCCCTGCACCTGGATGGGCGTGGGCTGGACGATACCCCTCTCGCGCAGATTCCGGAGTATGGGCTCCGGGAGACGGAGGTCCCGGAAATCACGCGCAGGAGGCGGGACATCGTCACCGTCGACGATGATGTGCCACTTGCGGCGGAGCTCGTTGGCCTTGGCGAGCGGCATCCGGCGGAGGCGGAGGGGCGGCTTCCACCCGGTCTGGATCGGTTCCGTGTAGATGATGCCCTTGGCGATCTCGCGGACTGACCTGAGGGATTTGTTGTCTGAGAGATTCTCAATCACTTCCTTCTCCTGCTGGATGCGCTGCTCCGTGGCGGTCACCTCCGGGGCCGCGCGCTTAAGCTGCGTGGCCGTGACGAGAAGGCTGGGCTTCGCGGCGGCGTCGGGAACGGAGGCCTGAGCCGGCAAAAGAGGCGGAGGAGGCGGCAGCGGGAGGGTGGAGGCGGCGGAGGTCGGCGCCGACTTGGAGAGGCGAAGCTGGCGGAGGCGCTCGGCCTCCATGGCCCGGCGCTTGGCGACTGGGATGTACTCCTCATAGTCTTCTTCCTCATCGGAGTTCGACGCGGCGGCGGCGGCGGCGGCCGAGGAGGCTGCGGTGGCTGCCATGGGCGGTCGAGGTTGGGGTTAGGGCTCGGAGATGGCGGTGGATTTGGGGAGGGGACCGAGGAACGGAGAAGATCGGATCGAGTCACAAGGTTGGAGACATGAGGCCCAGCCCACAAACAGTAAGACACGGCCGTGTCAAAATAAAGGTGGTCCCAAGGCGGTTCTTTTTCTTCCCCAACTAGATGGCTACAGTATCTCCTAAAAAACAAAGATGGTTTACAGTAAAAATTATAAATGGCTACGGCCTTGTTTAGTCGACGAATTTTTTTGGGAAAATGGTACTGTAGCACTTTCGTTGTTATTTAACAATTAGTGTCTAATCATAGTCTAATTAGGCTTAAAAGATTCGTCTCGTGAATTTCGTCTAAACTGTGTAATTAGTTTTATTTTTTATTTATATTTAATGCTTCGTACATGCGTTCAAAAATTCGATGTGACGAAGAATCTTGAAAAATTTTGTAAAATTTTGGAAACTAAACAGCACCTAGATTTCTCTAGAGTTCATGCCTGAACTGAGGCCGCTTGCCCGCGTCAAAGTCAACCAAGTTCTTTTCTAAACTCAAGAAATAGCCTTAGATGTAAACCCTTAGTTGCCCTCACTTAGAAAATTATGATAGTGTGCACTTAGTTTTCATATATTCTCTCTATTCTCTTTTTCAGTTTGGTATGGATTTACGTTTCGCTCCCGGAGCCTAGATTAGGACAATAGTTGTGGGTGTCCATCGGTGTCGTCATCGGTGGCTGTCGTACCCTAAGAAATATTTATATGGGTCTGATTAGTTGCATCTACCAATCTATATAGTGCAGTTTGTTTGATGCTCAAAGAAGATCCCATGTTCTATTTTACTGTGTGTCAGATTTGATCGTATTAGATAATGCAATTTTACACAAGACAATACATATGCAAAAGTAAAATATTCTCATCCGCACATCTCTACTAAAATATATGAGACTCAACTAGAATATGAAGGTGACATGCAACGAAATAACGAAATGTAAAGCAACTAAACACAACTTTATCAAATGCGACTTGCTTGTGGAGAATAAACAAACACCGAGACGATGCATATGTTTACGTTGACTTAGGTCACCCTGTTTGTTTGGGCTTATTTGGCTTATAAGCCATGGCTGAAAGTACTATTGGATGGTTTGGTGTGAGAGAAAAATAATGTTCGTTGGCTGATAAGTCATGGCTTATAAGCCAAATACGACAGAGCGAACAGGATGTATGTTGCTTAAGGTCTAATTCAGACTAAGACTAACGCAAGCAATCAATCAAACCCGATGTAACCAGGCATCCGCACCCGATTGCTAAAATGTTGGGTTGTTACCTTAGTCTTAAAGTTCTAGTCCATTTCAAAAATTCATATGATTACGTACTATCTACGTGTTGAACGACTAGATGTGTGATATATATAGAGAAACAACCGCCTGTTTTTAACTTCCTAAACTTGCAACCATGAATGATATATACCTTTATTGTTAACAAGCTCGATATGTGTCCAAAACCGGTTGGCGACCCACAGCCACGGGCCGCGAATGACTCATGGGCATAGGCATGAGTTTGGGAGATAATAACCAAACTTGTTAGGTTGTACTCAGAAAAAAAAAGTAATTATAGGATCCGTGCCGATCAAAATAGCTCAGGTTTGATCAAATTTATAGTAAATAATATTAATATTTATGTCTCCAAATGAATTTATTATGAAAATATATTCTATGACTAATCTAATGATACTAATTTTGCATTAGGAATATTAGTATTTTTTATATAATTTTGGTCAAAGTTTAAATTAATTGACTTCCTGGGAAACGAGAATTAATGTACAAAATTCTTTTTTTAGAAAAATAAAGGTTTATTAATTACTCATAATTATAATTAATCCTAAACAATAACTTGCTCGACACACTGGGTATTAAAATGGCACGCTGGTCTGGTAAAACCAGATCAACCGGTTGATCCCCTCACGAGCCACTGTTTATCAACCAGCCGCTACAGTGTTTCTCTCTCATAAAAACAGCTAGTTTTAGACCAGCGAACGAGGCCTAAGTGTCTAGTACATTTTGCCAGTTGTGCGATACTTTTTTTTTTCATGTGGACGGCTTCCCAAATCGGTACCTCCATCATCCATTGCTTCTTTAATGATAAAACTCACGTCGGTTCTTTGAGGTTTTAGCATGTTGGCTATGCTGCCACACTCTGTTTCAAGAATATAGCCTGTGTTATGCACCACACAGCAGCAAGCTCAAGGCCCTCACGACAAGCAAGAACTTCCACTTCCTCTGCACTATTCAGTATTCACCCATGTCAAATGATGCCATGTCGTTAGCTGCACCTTACCATATTCATCTCATATAATTCATGCAGGTGGATTCAATCAAATGCATGGTGCAAAATGATGCATTTGTTATCGAAATGTTTTAAAATTTGGTAGCTTCAATAAAGACCCATGTGATGTGTGTTTGAGAAAGATCTAAATATCATGTAAATATCGGTATGTCCTATCTTTCTACGCATAAAATACTCCGCCATAATACGAAGAACTACGTGATGTATATTATAAATAGTACGGCCACAAATTAACCAAAATAGTACGATATCGCTTGCCAATAGATTTAAACATAGAACTCTGATTTTGTTTCTGTGTTACACTGGCATTGTTTTTTTTTTTTACTTATAAGAACGAAAGCTTTCTTGACAATAGGTTCGATCTGGATTCTGGTAAAACCCAAATGGTTGGTGGGGGTCCAAAAATTCTCCACCACCTACCCCCGCTTCCTTCCCCTCCGACCCACCCGCACCTCTCCGGCATCTCACTCCTCATCCGCAGTCCGCACACACCACCAAATCCCTACCTCCTCTCATTCACTCGGTCGCCCATCTCACCAACCATGGCCGCCGCGTCCGACTCTGACGCCGGCGCCCAGCCGCGCGACGACCCCAGCCTCCTCCCTTTCGCCTCCTTCTCGCTCGCCCTCTCCATCCGCGCGCCGGCCACCACCACACTCGCCTCCGTCCCCTCCACCATCCACCTCCCCACTCAAATCTCTACACTCGCCGTCTGCCTCCACCCCTCCGCCGCGCAGCCTCCCTCCCGCCGCCCCACCCGCCTCAATTCCGCCACCTCCTCCGTCATCGCCCCGCTGCCCTCCTCAACGCTGGGGCTCTCCCGCTCCTTCCCCTCGGGCGCGCCCGCCGGCGCCGGGCGCCGCCGCACGCTCGTCTGGTTCCGCGCCGACCTCCGCCTCCACGACCACGAGCCGTTCCACGCCGCAGCGGGGGCGTCGTCCTCCCTCCTCCCCGTCTTCGTCTTCGACCCGCGGGACTTCGGCAAGTCCCCCTCGGGGTTCGATCGAACGGGCCCGTACCGCGCCAACTTCCTGCTCGACTCCGTCGCCGACCTGCGCCGGAGCCTCCGCGCCCGCGGCGGGGACCTGGTGGTGCGCGTGGGCAGGCCCGAAGTGGTCATCCCCGAGCTCGCGCGGGCGGCGTGCGCGGAGGCCGTGTACGCTCACGGGGAGGTATCGCGGGACGAGGTCCGCGCCGAGGAGAGGGTGCAAAAGGCTGTGGAGAAGGAGGGCATCAACGTGAAGTACTTCTGGGGTAGCACGCTATACCACGTGGAAGACCTTCCCTTCCACCTCGAGGACATGCCGTCCAACTATGGCGGCTTCAGGGAGGCCGTGAAGGGTTTGGAGGTCAGAAAGGTGCTGGAGGCGCCCGAGGAGGTCAAGTGCGTGCCCATGAAGAATGTGCTCGAGCCCGGCGACATCCCCACGCTTGCTGAGCTCGGGCTCACTGCGCCACCAGCCATGGCACAGGTGAGTCGGCTTCGAGATATAGATTTGTTTCTTTCATGTGGCATGCTTTTAGAATTTAGATCTTTAGCTAGGTTTAGCATCTTGACATTTAGGCCCGAGCTCACTCTATAGTCTATATGCGGTAAAAGTAAAAGTTTCTGGCGTTCAATAGTTTTAAGTAAATTGTACAGCTAGAAATGGATGGATGTTGCTAATTATGGCATGCTTTGATTTCATTTACAATTTGGCTATATAATCATCCATTTCTTACTTTTTTAGGCATATCTTTGGGTATGTTGGGTCTTTGATGGGGCATAGTTAACGCCCTGTTCCCTTGTGATTTCAGCACAGCTGCTTCTGCAAAATTTGTGCATGAGGAACTATTGCAGCTGTGAGTGGATGCTGCAGCAATCACAGCCGAACAGGCCATTAATAATTCCTAAACATGAAGAAAACGCTAGATGCTTGCCCTCTGCGACTCTTCGCAAACAGCCACTGAACACGTGGCAACGTTGCCTGGTCGCGTACGGCGCACGTGCTTGGCTCGACGCGATACCAGGGGGATCAGCCGCCTCTCACAAAAAAAAAAAAATCTCAGATATGAAATTTAGTCCTCTGGTCCTAATGTCCTATTACGAGTGTCGGCTGTGTGTCGCTATTGCTTGCTGTCTGTCAATCCATTTTTATTCACAGCTGTGGTAGTATTGTCCGAGTAGCACAGGACAAAATGATAATAGAATTATTTTTTGTGGCTGGATGATAAAAGATGCAAGCAGTTTTGTCTTAATCAGATATTGCCCAATTCCACTCTTTCTGCAATTGAATTGTTTATCATAGTCTCATCTTCATCTGCATTAGCAGTTAGCTTGATTTTCATCATCATGACATCGCTGGATTTGTTTATTTATTTATTTGCATTTTGCAACTTTGGAACCTGAGTCACTATGACATCTTCTGCTTTTGGTCTTGGGACACCTTAAACCTGTAGTCTTACGCTCTTATGAGTCGTTTGTGTAGAATACATAGAACTAAATTGACATATGAAGGGACTTCACCGTCAATTTGGAAATGGAATGCTGAGCTGTCTTACTTCCTCGGTTCCCCCAAAGGGAAAAAAAAAATGATCTGCTGTTAATATGAACAGTGACACCAGTGAATGGATCGTCACTTTTAAATAATTTGTGTTAGTGCCATGGGCA